GCCGGTTGAGCTATAGGCGCCGAGCCAGAAGAGTTTCTTACATATTTCTTCTCTCAGTATTCTAGATAAGAGGTCAAGACCAGGTTTCTTTGGGTTTTGTCATTTTATGGTTGCTGGGTATGCAAGTCTTTGGAGTTGGAAATTTTGAAAAAAATGGGTAAACTCTGGTACCTTTAATGTTTTTAGAGCCACTCACATTATTCCTTCTATAAGAAGCACTTAAAGACTCTTCTAATCAGAATTAATTGCTGTTTTAAATATTTGTTTAGGCTTGGCATCCGTAGCACAGTGGTTATAGCACCCGCCATAAGCACCGAGGTTGGCAGGTTAAAGCCTGGCCCAGGCCTGCTAAACAATGATAACTGCAACAAGAAAATAGCCAGGCATTATGGTAGGCGCCTGTAGTCCCAGCTACTTGAGAGGCTGAGGCAAGAGAATCACTTAAGCCCAAGAGTTTGAAGTTGCTGTGAGCTGTGATGCCACAGCACTCTACCAAGGGTGACATAGTAAAACTGTGTCTCAAAAAAAAAAAGTATATATATTTGTTCAGCTTATGGTTGCACTTCAGTTTTTTCTTCTTTTAATTGTTGGTTAGGGATTTTCTACCCTACTTCACTGAAAGGGTCTTGAAACCAGAGACAGTATCAATCTGGTTTATCTTTGTCTTTGTGCCCCCACTGGTGTTGACATTGTTTTGTAAGGACAGTATTTCAGAAATTATAGATGCCTAGAATTTGCTTCAGAGTGATCTGGTCTGCGTAGGTGGGGTGTGTGTGTGTGTGTGTGTGTGTGTGCGCGCGCACAGCAGTGTTGTGGGGCCAGGAGAGCATGATATTGTACAAATGAAACAGATGCGGCCATGTGATGATACATTTTGAAGCTAAATGATGGATGCATAAGCAGTTTTTGAAACTAAATGATGGATACATAAGCAGTTTATTTTGCTATTATTTGTTACCTTTCTGTATGTGTGAACTTTTCTATGATAATTTTTTTTGACATAGAGTCTCAAGCTGTTAATTATTAAACATTAGTAACTATTAAAAAATGTTAGACATCGGCTCGGCGCCTGTGGCTCAAGCGGCTAAGGCCCCAGCCACATTCACCTAAGGTGG